ATATATATATATATATATATATATATATATATATATATATATATATATACACACACACATATATAAATATATATTCTGTACAATATATAATTGCCAATTCATTGCAGCTCCCAGAATTCTCTGCTTCAGCATGGAATTCTAGGAGTTAAGATCCCAATTCATCTGGAGGGAATCTCTTAGCCTTCAAAGAATTGTAATTTCATTAGTTGTTTGAATGGCTAAAATCTGATATAATCTAGTCCATATATGATTTGTATTGTTTTGCATTTAAAAATTATCAGTGTCAGCAATCTGCAAGAGACTTAAGGCAAGGATCTGCCAGTTGGCCAAGGGATCAAATGGGGAAGTTCCACATTGGAGGTGTCTCCTAGATTGATGGCAGACTCCACTCACACCCCCCCCACACACACACTTTGATCTTTGCTCTCCACCCATCCATCTTTTTGGTTATATTGGTATATTCTCGTTGCGTTTCTTTATCATTGTTTACTTTATTATTTTATTATTTTACTTCTATTTACACACTTTTTCATTTTTCTTCCTTTTTATTATTGTAAGCCACCTAGAATAACTCCATGGCTAGATAGGTGGCAAATAGAATTTAAAAATAATAGTAATAATAATAGTGCAACGAACCATGATAATATCTTAAATCCAATCTGTATTCTAAGTTCAATCAAATTTTGTCAAATTTAGATTTTGAATGGCATACATACATAATTCTCAATATGAAGTAAGAAGCTCCAAGACATATGGTATACATTTTCAATAAAAGTTGTAATATCTAATTCTGTTATAAAGACCCATAAAAAAGTTGAGCTCTCAGAAAGAGTATCACCATAAAAAAAGTTCAGCTCTCAGACGTTATATTTATAAAAGCTAACAAGAATGGGACTAAAGACAAGTAACAGATATTTTTATGTCAGAAAATCAGAACAATTCAATGAGAAGAATATTGGAGAGGGGGAACCTGGGTGATTAGGCAAAAATCCAAAGCAAAGATAATATCTAAGGAAGGAGTAACAAGCAGAATATAGTAATGAAAGTCTGCTACCATAAAGTAATATTATAGAGAAAGCTTTATGGTAAATAATTTTAAATAAAATTATTTTTCATGCAGAGAAGAAATGTAATAATAAATATATAAATTACTCCTTTTGGCTGAAGCAAGGCTAAAAGTATTTAACTCTGTCTGAATTTAGGATTTTTGGATATATTCGGTGTCTGTTTACCTAGACTCTAAGGTAAACAGTGATTTCCAAAGTTTAAAATACGGATCTCTCTACATGTAAAATTAACAGTCTTATTACTTTGATCATATACATTTAACAACAACCTTTCTTGACACTTTTATTTGTATGATGAGAAAAGCATCCATTACTTATTATCTATATATCAAGCTCCTGTTTAAAGCCATCTGCTATTTCATTTAAGATTCTTTTCTTATTTTTATTTTAAAAAATCCTGTATTTTCAAAACAGAGATCTATAAATGGACAGGTAATTACTGAACTTATAAAATTAATGCTCGGTATAACAACAAAAAATATCAATACAGTGAATTACTTTCGTGATATAAAAAACAAGCTTTAATTTTTTATCTTAATGCTAATATCTCCACTATATTATCATGTATATGTTTAAAGCAACATTAACATGCTTGCAATTTTTTTCACTTGACAGTCAGAGAACCCAACAACGGCAGTATCAGTTGTCACAGAAATAAATGATGACTATAGCCACGACATGAACAAAATGCTCTACAAGTTAGTGACGAACACTTCCAAGATGATGAAATACATGAAGCGTGTCACTCATCGTCACAAAAAAGAAATCAAGTACCAAAAATTAAACAAAAAGAGAAAAAATAATGAATATGATGAAGACGAACAGCTTTTCCCAGTTTGTCTGCACAATCATAGCTCCAGTGCAGACACCATATAATGTAAAAGCCCAATTTTTTTTCCTTCCTATATTCAGCTCTTACTGAATATTTGGAGTGCTGCTTCTAATCCAATAAGATGGCAAAGGAAGTAACAAAACTCCAATATAGGTTGCTTGGTATGCTGAGTTAGTTTCTGTACAGGATACTATGGATTGTACTGAAGAAGACACAAAGGGGCTATTAAATGTTTTAAAGTCAAACCAAAGTGATTTGCATCTACAATATCAATAATTAAAGACTGTATTTGGTAGATAATGCAGTGAGTCTTCAATATGATCTTACCTCTGTTATATAAAACTGAGACTGAACTTTAATAAAAGGCTCCCTTTTCACAGGAAGCAAAGTGCTGTTTCAGCAATTCAGCATTCTTCATGCTTGCTGCATTTCAGATATAGTTAATTCTATGTGACAGAAAAAAAAAGATGGAAAAATCCTTTCTTCCCAGCTTTCTCTTGATATAATTTCTGCTCAGGGAAAACAGGCAAGCAAAGAACAGGCAAAAGGCAAGTGATCCTAAAAGAATGAGAAGATGGCTGAGCGGTTCAGTAGCTAAAAGTCAAGCTTATGTAAGTTGCCCAGAGATCAAAAGCAAGGAAAAGATCCTTTTAGCCTCTGAACCTGTTTGTCTGATCATCCTCAAGATCGTTTTACCTGCTTTGTTTTAGTACTCTTGTATGGTGATCAGTTACATTTCTGGCTCTGAAGACGCCTTGATAAGAAATGATCCTTTCTTTGAGAACTGATCAAGTACAGACACTTCTCACAAAATGACAAAATCATCAAGAATTAGAAAAGGCTCGCTACAGGAAGTCCTTGACTTACAACCAGTCACTTAGTGATGTTTCAAGTTCTGACAGACACCCCCCCAAAAGACCCACAAATATGACCCACATGGTCACATGATTGTCTTTTGGGTGCTCAGCAACCAGCCCACATTTATGTCCATTTGCAGTATCCCAGTCCTGTGACTGTAATTTACTATTTTTTTTGCCAGAAATCAGCATTTATTTCTGGTTTCTGGCAAAAAACGCCATTGTAGACAATGGGTTTTGCTTAATGACACTGGATTTGCTTAACAACTGTTGCAAAAAAATGTTGTAAAATTGGATCAGTCATGTGATAACCTACTTACCATCAGCGTGATTTCCAGGCTCAATTACAGTCCTAAGTCAAGAACTATCTGTATTTTTACCCAAACTAATAAATATGATGGTATCAATAACACTCAAAATACTGTAACAAGAATTGCAAAGCCATAATTGTGGTTCTTCTGTGGTGTGACCAACAGATTCAAAATCAAAGTTAGTGGGAGAGAAACATACCAGAGAGCATACTTTGTTGTATTAATTTTACTGTCGAAGTTTTGTTTTATGCAACATGCTAAATCAAAACTAAACAAACTGCATTACAGTTTGATGCATAAAGATAGCATCTCCAACTTTAGAGAAAAATCAGGAGGAATTTTTATAACTTTTCAAACTAGCAAATTTTATTGAAAAGCACAAATTTTCAGAAACTATAGCTCATACTTTTTAATAAAATGTTTTGGTTTGAAAAGGTGCTACCAAACTCCACCATCTTTAGAGAATAAGTTAATTGATCTATTTTTGATTACATACAGCAGTTATAAACATGAAGGTGCAACCAGGCTGCAAAACAGTCCAAAAGCCTTAGGATTATTAAAAATCCAATAATCTCTTACCTGATTACAAATTAAGAAAGTCATTCAATAATTAAAATGGGATTATAAATTTAGATAAACAGTTTGCATGCTAAGTGATTAATTTTACTTCCTACATAGTAAGAGGAAGTTCAGTATAAAGTTTTACATAGTTGTATGAAAAAAATATGCCTCCTTTGATTACTGAGGCATCAAATGTAATGAAAAGCAGAGGGTCTTTTATCTACCTCTTTGAAATACAAAACTTTTTCATGTTAGTTTCAATGCATGTCACATGCTTAGAAAAGAATGTGTTTGTTGGACAATCCAATTCTCACACATTGTCTTGTCTTTCTCATCCTATTGATTGTACAGGTAGTCCTCAACTTATAACCACAATTGAGCCCAAAATTTCCATTGTTAAGCAAGGCAGTTGTTAAGTGAGTTTTGCCCCATTTTATGACCTTTTTGCCACAGTTGTTAAGGGAATCACAGCAGTTGTTAAGTGAATGATGGGGCCATTAAATGAATATGGCTTCTCCCATTGACTTTGCTTGCTGGAAGCTGGCTGGGAAGGTTACAAATGGTGATCACATGACTTTGGGACAGTGCAACTGTCATAAATATATGCCGGTTGTCAAGTTTTAATCACGTGACCACAGAGATGCTGCAATGATCGTAAGTGTGAAAACTGATGATATCACTTTTTTCAGTGCCATTGTAACTCTGAACGGTCACTAAACAAATGGTTGTAAGTCCAGGACTGCCTGTAGTGAAAGATAGTATACGGTTTCCTTGTGCTAAGAGATTTTGCTTTCCTTCTTTGATTTTATTTTGCATGTAATGTAAAGGATGTTTCAGTTCCTGCTTTTTCTTTTCTTTCTCTCTCCTGTGAAATTTGAATAGATAGCTATACTAGGCTCTATCTAGCAAACTATATGGGTTTTCCTTCGTAGAATAAAGCTAGGTCAGGTATTTAGCCTTTCTACCTAAATACAATGTCCTAATACACTTTTTCTGTTTTTTAAAAGAGCCTCATGTGAATTGATCTATCATTAATGTCTCACAGCACGAATTAACCATTTGGGGAAATTGTCTTTTTAAAAACAATATACTAGGTAGAAAACAGCTTCTTCATAAAGTGCTCCATGAAAATGACTTTTTGTTATTAAATAGTTGATATACTACAAATATTTGATAATATTTGTACTTGTTCAAAATTCAGCTAATTTGAGTACTATAAGGCTAAATCCACATCTCAAAGAAGCTTAGCAGTTATTAATATTACCTGCCCAATCCAAGAATTCAACACACTCTGTTTGCTTATATCGATTTGCAATTTCTCTAGCGTTTTCATCCCGAAATGTAGTTGCATAAATATCAACTTCCAGCTCTATCAGAGTTTTCAGTGTGTTTAGCTGACCCCAGGCTGCAGCACAATGAAGAAGTGTATAACCTGAGAGAACAAACCAAATCAATGTATATAACTGTGCACAGAATATCTGTATGCAATCCTTTTTATACACTGTATTCCTTTATATACAAGAAAACTCAACTGCCAATTAGCAAATCATCAGATTAATACTGGATAATCAATCAAACAATTTTCACTGACTCAATGCTTAAATACATGTAGAACATACATGCAAAGCACAGAAAAGGAATAAGAAATAATAAGCTAAATGCGGTACAAAGGTACCTTCATATGTATAGTGTCAAGCAAACATATATTGAGTATCTTCACAAACATTCCTTATACATTTATCCATTAACACATTAAACAAAGCTGCCTTCATACACCTTACTCTGTTTCGTTAAGCCATTTAATAAGCATTCCTTTTATTCTCATTCATGCTTAACTGTCATATTACTGAATTTTGCAACAAACTTCCAACTAATCCAAGATTATCATAAACTTTCACCTAATCATATGTATTTTGACAATATATATCCATAGAGTTGCCAACTATTTTCTGTAAAAATTCCTATGTCTATGAATTCAGTCTTGAGAATCAAAAGATTAATACATTACCTCTTTAAGCTAATGTTTCTCAACCTTGACATCTTCCAGCATGCTTATTGAGGAATTTGGGGAGTTGAAATTCAGGCATATTAAAGTTGTCAAGATTGAGAAGCAGTGCTTTAAGCTATCAGCTGTTTTTAACCACCGATTTTTGTTCATATATTTTTACAAAAACGCATATATACATTTGATGGATAGAGAAATAAAGTATTCAGAATAGTACATATACACTAACAAAGTGAAGAAACAAGTATTTTAGATGGAAAAACTAGGTTAAAAAGGCTGTTCAGTGAAAACATTATAGGGGAGCTAATGACATTAATGTGGAGGTAAAGAAGCCAAAGAGAGGCAAATGCTGGATGGGAATTCTGGGAGTTTTTAGGAGAATCGTGGAAGTATAGAAATTCAGACTTCCAGTGAAGATGGTTGACTGACCAGTCTGGAATGCTCCTTCTGGGTTGAAGCTTTTTCAGTTTACAAACAATGGAACTGACTTCCCTAAGTTTATATGACTCTTCTGAGTTAGGGAAAGTTCCAGAATCACCCCACAACATCCTCCATACAGCAGCAGTTTGAAAGAAAACTGGAGCAGCACACCAAGGTAGTCAGGTGAGATGCCCATAAGCTAGAGGTGGGTCAAAATCATTCTTTGTTGAAAAAATAGCCATTTTAGTATTTGTTTTTCAAATAGACAATGAGTTGTGCCTTTCATTTCTTAAACACTTTTGTATAATTATTAAACTAAAAGAGGCTCTTTTCAGAAACAGCCTGTTATTCCTCTTCGAAGGTCTAGCCATTTTGGGGATATCGTTATTGTTGAATGAGGAGGAGGGTTGCCAAAGGTGAGCTAAAATAAGGTGAGCCTGGAGTACTTTTTTCCTGGAGAAACATAAGGCTTTAAAACCTTATGGTCTTATTTCATCATTTTCATGAATTTGCCACTTTATTTGACATTGGGAGTTATAATTTGCATTTTTGGATTGTTTCTTGAGGAGGTTGAAATCTTCCAATTTTAATAAATTGGCCAAGAGATACCAGCTGATCTACAAAAAGCTTCTTTTTTAAAAAAAAATATTCTTTGACCACAAAAGGGAGGTAAACAAAATATGATGAAGCAACATAGGAGGCAATTAAGCCAGACAGCCTACAAGCCATCTCACTCATATCCTCTCCACAAAAGTAAATATTGATTTAATTATAAATATAAATATATCTAATAATATAACTAAATATTTATATTTATAACTAAATATAAATATGATATTTAAAGAAATATTTATAGTCTTAAAATGAATAAAAAAGGATTTTCTTTTTAAGGTTAAAGACTTTGAAGGATTTATAAATATTTAAAAAATATTTTAGAAAAATTAGTAAGTGTAAATAAATATAGATACACAACTGGGAAAAAAGAAAAAAATGGACTTTGTTAAGATGGCAAAGTAAACTCTTTTGAATGGGGATTTTATTCAGTCTTGTTTCTATTGGGATATGCCTTCTGGTTTTTAGGCTTGAAATAGAAAAAAAAATAGATTTAGAAATTATTTGAAGATTTAATAACTGTGTACTTATAGAATTGGCTTGTAATAATTATAGGTGTAAAATGTTGAGGTTGTAATTGTATTAGTATTTACTATGTTGGGAAAAAAATCAAAAGTCAGCTTCTTTTTTATTCTTTTCCATCCTGCACTCCCCCTCTTTAATCTTTATTTTCATTGTATTTTATGCTATAATACAGAGGTCCCCAATCTTTTGGGCACCAGGGACCAGTTCCGTGGAGAGGGGTTTTTCCGCAGACCAGAGGGTATGTGGTTTTGTGTGGTGCCTGCATCTCGCAGATGGGGCTTTGCTTGTTTGTGCAGACCGGTTACTGGCATGCTGCGGCCCGTACTGGTCCATGGACCAGGGATTGGGCACCCCTGCTGTAATAAACCTTAATAAACTTTATATATATACCAAAAAAAAAGAAACGGTAGATTCATAGCCAAAGAAAGTTAGCATTTCCCAAACTAGGAATTAAAGGAGACTATATGCAAATTGTGTGGGAAAGTTTGAGAATCTATGTGTATGTGTGTGAGGGGGAGAAGGTGCAACACAAATGAAAATTGTGGTTAGGCTCGAATTAGATAAAAATAGAGAACGAAAGAGAGCCAATCTGGTATAATGGTTAAAGCATAAGAAACTGGGAAACTGCAACTTGCCAAGAACTATCTGTAATTCAGGTTCTCAGTCCTAGGAAGAAGGCAATGGCAAAACCATTTCTAAAAAAAAAATATGTTGCCAACAAAACTGCAGGGACTGATCCAGACAGTCTCCAAGAATTGGACATTACTGAATGAAAGAAAAAAGAGGAGGAAAGTAAAAATGAGTTAAAGGATTAATAAAGGCTTAGATCAGAAAGCTCTAACAGATAGCTATGAGCATTAATCCATTATAGCATTCTTGTATCTGTTTTCAAATTCAAAATATAAACTGACATAGTTCTTAAAGGGATCTTTTATCTTAGTGATGCTTAATTCAAAATATCTAGACCATCATTTACCTCTGACTGTCTTATCCTTCAGGTCAACTCCATATTTTGCCAGGGACTGGATAATGTCATTCTGACCAACCATACAAGTTGTAAACAGTAGGTTTCTCCCTAGAATATCTTTTTCCATTAAAAACTTATTGGCTTTTTCATGATCAGGATCCTCCGAGTTCTCAAAAATCTGTTGTACTTCTTCCATATCACCCCTTAAAGCAGCCCTCAGGAGAGGATTAAAATGTGCTGGTTCCTCTTGAGGTCCCAAATCTTCGTGCTCATTTTTTGTTGTTGAAGCTGCTTTTTCTTCCAAGGGTTCCATTTTCACAAGATTAGCTTAATTTAAAAATAAAAATAACACAATGGGATGTGGTTTGTACAGATTCAAAGCATCATCATTTCTATCTATAAAACCTCATTCATCTTTTCATCCAAAACACGTTAGATCTCTATACTCTTCACCAGATTATCTATGTTATTACTAGTCAACATTATTTTCAACCATATTTATGAAATTTTAGAGTGCAGAATCATTATATATACAGTACACTAATCAGTAAAACGAATACTTGATCAAAACGATGGAATGAATGGGCATGACCTTTACCAACAGAACCTCAAGCCGTCTCATCGTGACCCAGCTCAAAACCAACCTGGCTGCGGTTCCCGAGTTCCCGATGCTTCCTGGCTTCTGAACACGGCAGGGGGAAAAAAGGCAGTGATCCCGTCGCCATAGAAACCTCGCAGCGTGGCTGAGGCCGGAACGCTTGAATGGACACTTGAAGTTCTTGCACGGAAAACTAAGACTGTAGGATTACTTCCGGCGGGTGAAAACAGTGGGGTGGAATGCTGCCTACTGGCAGTTTCCGGCACCAGTGGGAACTGTGGGAATGATTGCGGCTGTAGCAGTCGGGAAGGTCCTTCGTTCCTCCCACTCCCGACAACATACTGTACAGAGCCCCTGCCGATACATGGCATTTCCTTGCAACGGCTTCTGGCCTCGTCGCCGCTGAAATTCAGAATAAGCTCCCTCTTCCACCGGGGAGGTCAGTTTCCAGGGTTGGCAATGGCTGTGGTCGCGGACAACTGGGTTAGGGGAGGCTGTGAAAGAATCAGTGGGGAGAAGAGATGGGGCGAGACCTTGGGCTGAAGGGCATGCGGAAGAGTAACCCTAGAAATACCCAGCAAAATTAAATCAGGTGCACCTAATCTACATTTTTTTCCCCCAATACGTACCGGGCAGCTGCCTGTCTTCAAGGTAGCTCAAGCGGGGTCAGGAGATATCTAAAATGAAGCGGTGTTTAAGTTTCTTAAATAAATCGTGTAGTTGGTCACCTTAAGGGAAACAGTATTGGTTGTACCACTGGATAGGAAATCTCTGTTTAGTGCAGTGGTTCTCAACCTATGGGTCGGGACCCCATTTGGGGTCGATCGACCATTTCACGGGGTCGCCAAGCAAGGCTGTCCGCCATTTTTCCCCCTTTTCCGGCGGGTGCCTTACCTCCCTTGAGCTGGGCCAGCTGGTGGTCGGCCTGCTCCGTCTCTGCCGCTTGCCAGCTACGCCTCGGCCGGCGCAGGGGGCAGAACCACGCATGCGCGGTGCTCCCAGGCAGGGAAAGTCCTCGACTTATGACCGGTTGGGTAGTCCTTGACTTACGACCGGTTTAGTCCTCGACTTATGACCGGTTTAGTCCTCGACTTGGGGGTCGCGGCATTAAAAAGGTTGAGAACCACTGGTTTAGTGTCTGTAACTAATTAGCTATCATCAATAAAGTTTCATGCTTATGCCTTCACCAACCATGTGAAGATGATGGCCACACCCCATATCTTGTTGAAGGTCTTGTTACGGGGATGGAAAAAGTGAATGAACTTCCAATGAAGTTTAGAAGGTTCATATAATGAGGGAATACTGGACAGGTACCTACGTTGCTGGTGAGGGATTGTGGAGGAGGGAATGAGAAAGTTATTGCATGAACAGTGTCTGGCAGAGAGGTTCCAACTGTCATAACAGGTCTCTTGGATCAAAAGCAGGCTTTGAAAAGATTTCATTTTGAATTGGTAAATATCATTTGCCTTCTATTATGTTCAGTCTGTTATGTTCACTAATTTAGATAGCCCTTGTATGTGCTTTGCTATCTGAAACTAAGAAGAACCTTTAGCATCTTTTGGAAGTGTTCTGTGGTATCAATGATGGGTTTTTTAGAGGAAACATTTCACATTCTTTGCCATTTATTTTTAGGCATCTGGATGATAAAAGTCATCAGTCTTGCTGTTCTCAGTGGATAAAATGAGTTGAAGGCAAGGATTATTGATTAATAGTTTCTGTTGTACCTCTATTTTATCACAGGGTGAGTAACTAATCTTGCTTTTTTAATTTCAAATTGATTCATATAATGATAACAAATGTTTGTTTTGTATTTAGGAATAAGTATACATTTTTATTTTAGAAGACAGTGCTAAAGTTTGGACAATTGTTTATGCAGTCCAATGTATGTTAATTAGATTAAATTATCTATGCTTGTATAAGATAAAGCTAGAATTAAACATAGATTTACTATGGTTGTAATATAAAACTGGCAGAATTTTGAAAAAGAAATGAATAGGTAGAAATTGTTAACGATCTTTTACTTATCTTAGAATTTATTTTGTGGTGCATAATCTGATCACTTCTTAAATATATAACAAACTATTTTAGTTGCCTTTTTGTTACATGGGGTTTTTTTTATTCTTTGCCCAGGGCCAGCAATAATTTAAAGACTTCTCTTTGCAGTGCATGGACACAAAACCAATGCGCAGGTAATTAAAATAATTAAGTAGATTGAATTGTGACATCATACTAAATTATGATTTATAATCAGTGTATAGAATCTAGATAATGTTTGAGCTATTAGACCAGGCATGTCAAATTCACAATGTCATGTGACGTTGCGTGACGTATCTTGACTTTTTCTCCATTGCTGACAACGGGGTGGGTGCGGTTTTGGCATGACGCATCCAGCCCATGGGCCGGCAGTTTGACATGCCCGTATTAGACAATAGTAGTTTAAAGCTTTCCATTTGTCCTTTTTTCCTCTGAGAACAGTGGTCCACTACAGTTGTCACTGCCTTTTGGAAAGATAGACTCTGATGCATTAGTGAGTAATCTACAATCTCTCATGGCTTTTGAATCACAGCTGTCAGCATCTCTCACAGTTGGTCATGCCTTATGAGACTGCTGAAGTATCATGAAGTTGCATATCCCCATTTAAGTGCTTCAGTGCATCCTTTATAAATTTGAATTTTGCATCTGTATAATTTCAATAGTTGGCAGCATTTGGTCAGTCTTGTTTGGTCTTGGAACCTAACAAGTTAGGCCTGGTTAATACTCGGATGGGAGATCATCTGGGAATTCCTGGACTGTAAACTAGACTGGGAACTAAAGTGCTGGAAGAATACAATGGTAAATCATTCTTGTACTGGGAAATATCCATGAAGTCTTATATTTGCTTTAAGGGTTGGTCTTTACTAATTCCTACCTATGTTCTGCATAATAATTTATTTGACTTACAACTATTTACTTGCCTTTCGTGTACAATAATAATCACCATCATTTAATTAGTAATCTGATCTAAATAGTTACTGAGATTAAAACTTGAATATGCAACAGCTATCTAAAATAGGATAATGGATAAGATATAGAAAACATATTTAAATAAAGCTTGCCTGATTTACCTTCTGGTTTGCTGGATGGCTGATTCAACAAGATTTTTCTTAAAACAACTTTGTCTTCTGGTATCAGAAATACCAGGTGTCAGGGTCACACATCGAACGAAGCTGCAAAATATTTGGCTTTGGGATGCATGTAAACATTGCCACTATGTATTGTTCAACAAACTATGGATATATATTGACTTGTTTTCTGTACCCATGTCTTTTTATACTGTGATTTATATAGGGAGTTCAGGAAAAATTTACTTCTCTTTTTACAGAAAATTTAGGGAGCCCACTAAAATTGTGGCATCTTTCTGCTTGAGGAAGAATACTCATTTTACTAGTTTCTTTTTTTGACCATTTTACAAATTGAAACATCCCATGGATCCACTTAGGTTTTATATTGTTTCCTACTGTTTTTCTAAGTTTAGCTGCCATAAATAATCTTTTTAAAATCAAATTCTACTTTTTTCAAATTATAAACATACAAGCCAGAAAACAAATATTATAACTGAAATCTAAGCAGCATCCCCCAAAGAACAGTTTATCATCTGCTCAATTTGATGATGATAACTCAAGCACTTGCTGACATATTATTAGATATATTGTAGAATAGGGGTCCCCAATCCCCAGTCTGGCACTAAGCCGCAGCATTTCAGAAAACGGACCGCGCAAACAAGCAAAGCCCCATCTGCGGGATACAGGCAGTACATGAAACCATGCCCCCCTCCCGCTCCACAGAAAAACCTCTCTCAACGGAACCAGTCCCTGGTGCTCAAAAGGTTGGGGACCTCTGCTGTAGAACATAATGGTTGAACAAATTTTATGTCTTGTTGAAATCAGTGTATTTTATTTTCAAGTAATTCTACAAATCTACAAATATTGGAAATAATGTGAAATAACCATAAAGCAATCTCCAGATTCTCTCCCGTTGCATTGGATTCTATGTTAAAAACCAGGCAAATTGAATAATTAAAATATACAGCTTTTCCTAATTATAAATATATTTTTTTGGAATTTGAAAGTCTTTAAAAAAAAGTTGAAATATAGCATTAGAAGTTTTTAAAAAAGGAAGAGAATTCTAACTCAAAGAGTTTGTAATTTCTGTTTGGCTTTTCAATGTTTTCACATAGCTTTGGCTACTTGAATTCTACAAGAAAATCTGGTATTACATCTATTTTATTCTGAATATTTTCTTAGAAATTTGTTCAGTCCAAAGCTTATATTTCCTTATTAAAATATTTTCAGCTATAATAGGTACACTTTCCCTTTTAATAGAGGTATATAAATAGCTACACTACTATTTTTTCATTGTTGAATTACTTTTATCAAAAATCTATCAAGATGAAATTTCTTATGACACTTTTCTTTCATTCTCTTTCTGGTATAATAAATGCTTGTCCACTTTATATTTTTGATGTAATGTTTTCTATCCAGTGGTCTCACTCCTTTGTTCCGTTATTAGGTGTACTAGTAATCGAGCAGGTGAAACCGGAATGGATGTAACAAGCCGTTGCACTCTTGGAGATCCCAACAAACTACCAGAAGGAGTGCCACAACCTGCTCGTATGCCTTACATCTCGGACAAGCACCCTCGCCAAACATTGGAAGTTATCAATTTATTGCGTAAGCACCGGGAACTGTGTGATGTGGTGCTGGTTGTGGGGGCCAAAAAGATCTATGCCCATCGAGTCATCCTATCAGCCTGCAGCCCCTACTTCCGAGCTATGTTCACAGGAGAACTTGCAGAGAGCCGGCAGACTGAGGTGGTGATCAGAGACATTGATGAAAGGGCCATGGAATTGCTTATTGACTTTGCATATACTTCCCAAATTACGGTAGAAGAAGGCAATGTTCAGACCTTACTGCCAGCTGCTTGCCTTCTCCAACTAGCTGAGATCCAAGAAGCCTGCTGTGAGTTTCTGAAAAGGCAGTTGGATCCTTCCAATTGCCTTGGCATCCGAGCATTTGCTGATACTCATTCTTGCCGTGAACTTCTTAGAATTGCTGATAAATTCACTCAGCATAATTTTCAAGAGGTGAGTAGCTCTGTAATTAAAATGTGGTCAATATATGCATTGGAGGTAAGTGGCAACATGAACTATACCACAGTAGGTGAAGGTTCATTGTTTTTGAACATTCCTCAGCATTAAAAGAAAACAAAACAAAATCAACTTCCTTTCAGTTAGAAGTTTTGTCTAGCAAAAATAGATATGAGCTAGAATCCTTAATCTATAATAACAATTGTATTACTTTATTATGGGTGAATACTGACATTTTCTTTCTTCATATATTTCAAAACATTTAGCTATATATTTGTTGAAACTGATTAATGTTTGAACTTTTTTACTTTAATTGAAAGGAGATGTGATAATTGCTCAAAATGAGTATTACATATAGGGCTTGATGTCTTTGTATCATAATTTTTTAAATCTAAATTGTACTGTATTATTCTGCATAGACCAAACCTTAAAACTACACACATCTTGCAAGTCTAAAATTTTTAAACATTCTCATATCATGGTAAACCTCTCTTTCTTTTTGATACTGCCCACTATAAATGTCATAAATATTTTGAGCAGAATAAATGTATTTTGACTGAGAACAATTATAGATTTTTAGTTTGGGGGAGTTCCTTAATTTTTATTAACTTGAGAACAAGAGTTATGTAGGATTACAGTTAATAGAGTGCTATACTGAGAGTACAGAAGAAAATACTTATTAAAATATTGTATTTTGATGGAATCTAATAGTACTGTACTACTAACTGAAAATAATATTCTTTGAATGATAATTTTTAAATCATAAGGAAACAATGCAGAACATTGCTCTGGGCCCATATATAGCTAAATTTCAGCATTGGTAGTTGTTATCTTATGACTTTTTATACTATTTCATAATTCTAACAAAATTATTTCTGTTAATTTATTATTAATTAATCATTTATTATGAATTAATAAAGCATGGATTACTTTTCAGATTGTTTCTTATACATAGTTAAATGCAGCTTGATATGTAGTGATCTATGAAGTGAATAATGGAAATATTCATAATCTTCATAAACAAATTCATCTTCTTGTTTAGATTAACTCATTGGGAAAAGATTATATACATGTATAAAATACAGGTATAATGAAATTATGACCCTGCAAGTCTGAATTATTTTCAAACTGTCATGGGCTACATTTTGATTGATGAGTAGCAGGTTCGCCGCTTTTACAAGTCAGAGTGTTCAAATTAAACATTCTTTTTGTTTCAACTCTTTGATATATTATATGAGAAAAAGAGATATTTGAATAAAATGTTAACGGATTTCTTAGAATAAACTGATTTGAAATCTGTAACTTGCTCAGTAAAGAATAGAACTTTATAAAAGGAATTGAATCATGGAATGTAAAGGAAGGGATCTTGGAGATAATCTTGTCCAGTGCAGGAATTTGCTATCTTGACATTCCCAACAAATGATCATCCAGCCTCTATTGAAACAACTCCAATGATATTTTGCTGCCACAGCTGCAGAAAAAGCTATTTATTACTGTAGGTTTTATATTATTTATTTAAGATGTTTACATATTACCTTTCACCAAAATATCCTTTAACATTCACAATTACTAATTAGAATACATTGTATTATTTGATAAAATATTAATCCATGGAATTTCTGTGTTACAAGATCAGCTGGGTCATTTAAAATAAAATAAGGATTTCCCCATTTGCTAAATGCATTCAGTTTTTGGAAGAGGATCAAGGCAATCTCAATCTTCTCAGTAAAATTCCAGATATGGTTTTATTATTAAAACTATTATATTTCTTATGTTAAGTGATTTTATCCTACCTGCCTGGGAACCTGGGTATTACATTATGTAAAGTTATGTACAATTGTTATATTTTGTGCTGCTGCTTCCCAAAAGCAGTCCAAAAAAAGAGATTTCAGAAAGTTCCTTCAATTGACCCGATTCCAGTGGGACAAGATATTTTTTTTCTTAGTTCTGTGTGTTATAGAAGTTTTATGGATTCTCTTCTATCTTTGGAAAAAAATGTTTTCCACTGAGGGCCTAGAGAGAATGCATATGTACATGTTTGCAGCTTGTCAGGAGCTTGTATTTCGCACCACTTTAGTGCTTGGCAGCTTTTGCAGTCCGAGTCCCTCTGAGGTGCACAGCCCCTGTGTGTATATTTAGAGCAAGCAAATGAAAAGGAGGTAGGATAAAGTGAGTCCATCTTATAACCCTGAGGCACTCTGACAGAAACTAAGATCAAAAGGGTTTTTTTTACATTTGCTTACAGTACATAGGGTAACTTTGCTTTAGACTCTGTACTTTTTTGTCCATATTACAAATGTAACTGCTTTATTGAAATGATTTATTCTCTGAATAGCATTTTCAATTGTCATTATTTCCTGATTACAAATGGAGAAACTGAGACCTATGAGGACAACTCTATAAAGGCCCCTCTTAATCCAGTTAGCAAATATCTTTACATTGTTTCTGGAATCAAAGCAAAAGATTCTGCTTAATGACCCATTCTGATTTTGAACTTAGATAATTTATATTAATGGATTAATATAAATATCTGTATATAAAATTTATCATATGTAAAAATGGTGCTTTAGATATATTATGAAATGCCTAAGCTGAAATATGCAAAAGCAAAAGATGCCGAAATGCTTTTTTCAACAGAACTTCTCCGTTTCCAAATGGCTCTGCTTACTTTAAAATTTTATCTCATTATAGGTGATGGAAAGTGAAGAATTCATGTTGCTTCCAGCTAATCAGCTTATTGACATCATTTCCAGTGATGAACTGAATGTCCGGAGCGAAGAACAAGTATTCAATGCAGTAATGGCTTGGGTCAAATACAGCATTCAAGAAAGGCGCCCGCAGCTTCCTCAGGTATGGCCCAAATACATTTCTTACATGATTGCACATATGCAAATATGCCATTTTGCAGGATACCTTTATTACTTATTTATAGTGGTATTATTTGTTAGTATGAAAAAAAGAGTTGGTTGTTTGAAAACGTATCAGAATATGAAATGGTAGTTCATTCAGCCCTATTCTGTATGAAGTGATACCCAAAGCTCTGAATCCACACAATCATTGGAACTTGCTAGGTCTCTTGGAGTAGTATAGCATCATATTTTTGATCCATTGTTCTTGATTGATAGGTTTTGCAACATGTCCGCTTGCCACTGCTTAGTCCAAAGTTCTTGGTGGGCACAGTTGGCTCTGATCCCCTCATTAAAAGTGATGAAGAATGTAGGTAAGTCTTTACTAATAAGAAATATTCTACAGTTCTTAATATAAAATTGTGAAGTTCCTATGTTAACAGTTATTATGTCAGTCTATAGCACTCTTTAATATGTCTTCTTTCTTAAGACTTGCTTATTAGAAAACAATGTTTAACTCTGACATCTTATCAACAAATACATATGTAGACCAAAATATGCATTTTTTGTACCCTGAGAAGATCAGTTAAAATTGGCATGGTTTTTCTTCAAGAAAATTAACATTTTCAGACAGTAAATATTAAAAAAGAAAACTTTTCAGAATGTAAAGCTAGAAAAATACTCAGCTGGCAAAATGCAGTGCTTCAACTTTCAATATAAAACAATACCATCTATATTAACAATTATATTTCAGATTATCTGTACTCATTTTTCCTTGGGCTGCATTTTAATTTATTTGTAGGGATTTAGTAGATGAAGCTAAGAACTACCTGCTGTTGCCCCAAGAACGACCATTGATGCAGGGTCCTAGAACTCGACCACGCAAACCCATCCGTTGTGGAGAGGTACTCTTTGCGGGTATGCATAAATTTCCATAGTTCTTAGTATTTTTGTCAGTTGTAAAGAGCCTTTGCTTTTTTAGATTCCAAGAAATCTTTGTGTTTTTCTTACTTGGGGAAAAATATAAAACTATGGTGTGATGCAAAATTCACAACGTGTCTTACAAAATGCAGGTTCCTTGGCCAGAAATTTGAAAGTAGGATAAATAAGAGGAAAAGCATAACCAAAGAAGTTATAGTAACAAAAGTAAAAGTGACATGGCTGTGTCTATGGAGATTCTCAGTCATCCAGGTATGGTTGTCCCAAAGTGCTTTTTCACAAGGCAAATGAACTTCCTTGTTTTTCTTTGAAGACATTTCACTTCTCATCCAAGAAGCTTCTGGATGGTGGGGAATAGAAGGATTTATACTCTTTACAGACAGCTGGTCATCTGCATTCTTTTAGCAAGTTGTTTAGCAAGCCCCTGGAGGCTTATCTGTGTCATCAGGGTCACCTGAATAGTGCAAATGGGCATGGAGCCTTCTTGGAAGTGTTGAAAGAACTGTGTTGTAGACTGGAGATAGATGATGTTGAATCCCTCCCCCTCTGTTGAAAGAGGGCTGTTCAGTTTTGACATAGATGGCCTCTTTGATCCCTCTTTCAAACCAGCAGCCCTCTGTCCAAAATGTGGACTTTACTGTCTTCACAGAAATTTCATCCACTCACTAGTATAGGTTTGTGGACGATACTTGGATCAAAATCAAAATACAGGAATTGGAAGCATTCACCAAACATATCAACTTGGTGGACAGATACATCAAATTTACACGTGAAGATGTTAAAGAAAATAGTCTAGCCTTCCTGGACTATGCAGTATACATTAAGGAAGACAGAAGCTTTAACACTGAATTTTACAGAAAACTCCCACATAGAGATCAATATTACATTTTGATTCTCACTACCCGCTGGAGCACAAAATGGGAGTTATCCAAACCCTTCATTACCGAGCTGAAGGCCTGCCTACCTGCAACGCTGGAAAAGAAAAAGAACTAAAACACATCAAGGAAGCCCTCAGAACTTGTGGCTATCCCAAGTGGGCCCTCATCAAATCTCAAAAAAGATCCAGCAGGAGCTCCTCAATGACAAAGAAGAAAACAATAAACGAAGCAATATAGTCATTCCATACGTTGCAGGAATATCAGAAAAGCCCAGGAGGATCTTCAGCCAACACAACATACTTGCACACTTCAAACGCAATAATACATTAAGGCAGAAGCTTGTCCACCCCAAAGATAAAACCGAGACACAAACTGAGCAATGTGGTACATGCAGTACAATGCAGTGAGCCATGTACAGATCTGTACATTGGGGAAACAAAACAACTACTTCATAAACGCATGGCACAACGTAGGAGAACAAACCCATCAGGACAAGATTCAGCAGTCCATCTGCATTTAAAAGACAAAGGCCATTCTTTCAAAGACAGCAAAGTCCATTTTGGACAGAGAGGATTGCTGGTTTGAAAGAGGTCAAAGAGGCCATCTACCGTGTTTCCCCAAAAGTAAGACCCAATCTTATATTATTTTTGCCTCCAAAAGAGGCATTAGGCCTTATTTTCGGGGGGTGTCTTATATTTTTTGTGACACCTGCCTTGCCTCGCAAGGGGGGGGGAGTGAGGGTGAAAGGCTCACACAAAAAGAAAAAGATCTCGCAAGAAGTTGGAAGGTCTGACTGAACTTTTTTTAGTCCCACAAACTCTTGTTTCCCTGCAGCAGGAGAGAAATGTGCCAGAGCTGGAAAGCAGGTTAGCGAATAATTTTTTTGCTTTCAGGAAGAGGAAGGAGCTGGGCGGTGCTGCGCCAAACTCTACAGCAGCACCAGGAGAAGCGGCAGGAAGCGGAGTTGCCATTTCCAAAATGGAGAAGGGAGACGGGCAATGCAGGGTGGCAAGCAAGTGCTCTTCTCTGCTCTGCATCACTGCGCAGAGCCACTCCGCTCTCTGTTCTCTCCAGTGGTGGCGACGGAGGGCTGGTGGCGGGAGGTGGCGGGGGATGCTTGAGCTGCCCGGTCATGGTGTAAGCCACAGGAAAGTTGGTGGAGGAGGCAGAGGCTGGTGCCAGGCAGGTGAGCTGTGGGGCGAAGAAAGCCCCTCCAATGGCACACAGCAGCAGCGAAGCCTTTTGTCCTCACTCCCCCTGGCTCTAAAACAGCGGAGGGGGATCGGGCTTACCCCGCCTATCCTGCGTAGCATGGCAGTCCAGCTTGGTAGGGAGTGAAAGGAAAGGTTGCCAAGCAAGGAATGGCCTGGCTGGGGGGCTCTGAAGGAACAGGGTGCGCGGCGCATGGAGCAGCTCCACCCCCTCCCGCACCTGCCTCGCCTTGTGTCAGTGGTGTGATGTGCTGCGCGGCCTCCTGCCCCATTGTGGCAGCGAGGTGGGCGGGGACCTAACTAGGGCTTATTTTGGGAGGGAGGGCTTATGTTAGGCCCAGTCCCAAAAATCAGGGTAGGTCATTTTTTCAGGGTGGGGCTTATTTTCAGGGAAACACAGTATGTTAAAATTGAAAAGCCCTGTCTCAACAGAGGAGGAGGGATACGACATCATCTATCTCCAGTCTACAACACAGTCCTTTCAACAGTTCCAAGAAGGCTCCACACCCATTTGCACTATTCAGGTGACCCTGACGACAGATAAGCCTCCAGGGGCATCAACGACTCGCTAAAAGACCAGCTGTCTACAAAGAATATAAATCCTTCCATTCTCCACCATCCAGTCAAAACTGAAGAAGCTTCCTGGATGAGAAGCAAAACATCTTAAAGTCCAGTTGCCTCCTGAAAAAGCACCTTTGGGATGATCTAGATGTGTTACTTTGAAATCCTGCAATAAAAGAAAGCATAAGACAGAATAGTAGATAGAACTGATACATTTTGGAGTACACATTATTTGCTGCATGTGGTTTCCTGCACTGTAGTTAAATGTGCCTTTTTTATTTTCTTACATATACTCATGCACATAACTTCTTACAGCCCTATAGAGAAATGAGGATCTTCTTGTGTTTCTAATGCAGAGGTCACAGGAATTTCCCCTAGTTCCACAAGTGAGGTTGGCTGGGAGGGAGAGCCACCTAGTCCTGGTAAACAGGCAGGAATTTATCAGTGGAGAGAAACACACCACAATGAAGTTAAGATATACAGTATATAACAATTGCCACCCTTTTGACCCCCTGGTCACTTTTCCACTAATATCTAAGGATGTTGGCTCACAAGTCCTCACTGCCTATTACTTGTTCTTGTATAGTCAGATGGAGGGAATCCACAACCACCATTCAGAATCATAACTTACTCAAATTCCCACCCACAGAGTCCTGGACTTGCTCCTGCTGAGTCCTCAAGACAGGTTTCTCTGCTACTGAAACTCCAAAGAAATATCTCCAAACAGGTTTAGAATTGGTGAGGATAATGGGCAAAGGCAAAGACCATAAGTCTACAAAAATGGCAGGGGTATGCCAAATGCAGACTTCTCGGCCCTCCTGACCTTCCAATCCTGTCAAGTACGCCAGGCTGTTGTGGGAAAAGTGCCCACTTAAGTAAGGAATCAAAAGTATTTGGCAGATAGATGCAACAAAATATTTCTTTATCTGTATCACCTTTATTTTTACAAATAACACAAGGTGGTGAACATATCTGACACATCTTTCTCCTCCTTTTCCTACAACTCTGCGAGATGGGTTGGGCTGAGAGAATGACTGATCCAAAGTCACCTAGGTGGCTTTCAGGACTAAGACAAGGCTTGAACTCATGGTCTCCTACTTTCTCTACATTTTGTTTTTCTAAGGAGCCTTCATGGCTGCCTTTTCATCTGATACTTTACTAGCATTCTCTAAATTGTACCATCTGTTGCACATCATGCCAAAGATAACAATCTTGTTTCTGTTACCTGTCTTTTTCTCCTCCAGGGTCATCAGACAGCTGCAGTTTGCCTGCTGGGTGTAATATGCACTTTAGAAGCATGTGCGTGTGCATTTGTGTGTGTTTATACATATGTACAAAATATTATCTGACTCCATACTCCATATGTCTAATACTTCTGCCATTCTACTGTCCCCCAATTTTATTTTCTCAGTGGGTGGCTGGTGTAGTGGAGATGCAATTTCCAGTGTTGAGCGCTATGATCCTCAAACAAATGAGTGGCGGATGGTGGCTTCCATGAGCAAAAGACGATGTGGTGTTGGAGTTAGTGTCTTGGACGATCTTCTTTATGCAGTAGGAGGACATGATGGTTCTTCCTACCTAAATAGTGTAGAAAGGTAAGTTCTTATCACACAAAATATAAGCTCTTCAGTATGTACTTGCTAACATTATGGCAATGAGTGATTTATTTAAGAGATAAATAAATAAATCATTTATTTAATGGAAAAGCAAGATATGTATCCTAAATCATAGTATCTGAGACTTGGGAACAGTGACACTGTGTTATGGTGGTTTTATTCCTTTACCCAGAGGCAGTTTCAGTTAGTGTTGGAGGGGAGATAAAGACAAAGCTCCTGTTTTGTGGGGGTCCTCAGGACTCAACTTTCTCAACTTTTCTATTTACTGTCTACATGAGACCATTGGGTGAGTTTATCTAGTGCCATGGGTTTGGCTGTCACCATTATGTGGATAATACCAGTTGTGTATCACAAACCCAGGCCAAACAAGTGGAGTCCAGGTCTTGGCATCTGGAGACTTAAAGTCTGGATAAAAGGTTCAGTCTCAACCATAGGAAGACTTTTTAAGATCATCATGCTAATTACTAATTATATTCCAATATATTACTTAATAATAAATGCAACGTAGAAGTTATCTTCACATGGCTTTTGTATTATTATTAAAATGACGGGATTTTTCTTTCCTTTCAAAATATATATATATATATAGGTAGTCTACATATGACCACAACTGAGCCCAAAATCTGTGTTGCTAAGACAGTTGTTAAGTGAATTGTGCCCCATTTTAGGACTTTTCTGGCCACAATTGTTAAGTGAATCATTGCGGTTAAGGTAGTAACATGGTTGTTAATTGAATCTAGCTTCCTCATTGAGTTTGCTTATCAGAAGGTCGCAAAAGATGATCACATGACCTGGAACACTGCAGCCATCATAAATAAGAAACAATGGCTAAGCATCTGATTTTTGATCAGCTTTGATGTTTTCAGTGCTTTGTAAAACAGTAGAGAACAAGCCAAAGAAACAAATCCAGATCTCACCACACTAACCTGAAAAAGTAAAATCAGAAAATTGTAACTTGGATCATGTTGGGTGATGAGACCTTGCCAATTTAGCAACATCTTTCCTAAACCCCCCCCCCCCATACACATAATGCTTGCTCCCTATAACTACAGCTCTTACTTAACAAATTTCTCCACCTCTATAGCTTGCATTAATACAATATTCAGTTTAAAAATATAAGCAATCCTAAGGATCAGCTACAAATCAGCATTAAAAGCAGCAGCTTAAATTCAACACATAAGCCAGACCATCTTAAAAATCATGAGCAATCCAGTGAGACTTAAGTATGTATCAGATAATGAAAGTTTTCAAAAGAAAAGAAAACAATTTCACCTTCCTCTCCCTCCCTCTTTTGGACTGAATCAAAGTTATTTATTCTGAACAAAAATACTACTCTGAATATAGTTTTGCTTTTAGTCCAGTATTTAATCTCAATCCAGGTGAACTCTTAACAGTATAGATGAACAACAGAACTTTCAATAGAGAAAAATATAGAACTATATAGAACTAAATATAGAATATAGAAAAAGAGAACTTTTACGCCTACGGTGATTACCATGAAGACCTAAAATATATCTTTCTTTTCCAGATATGATCCAAAAACCAATCAATGGAGCAGCGATGTGGCACCTACCAGCACCTGCAGAACCAGTGTTGGAGTGGCAGTACTTGGTGGATATCTATATGCTGTAGGTGGTCAGGATGGTGTTTCCTGTCTCAACATCGTTGAAAGGTATTTTATAAATCAATTTGGAAACAGAGTTCCTTCAGGAAGATAGCAGAATTACTTTACTAGCAGTGAGATGTTTCTTTCTTTTTGTTTCAGATATGATCCAAAAGAAAACAAATGGACTCGTGTAGCTTCCATGAGTACTAGGCGACTTGGGGTGGCTGTGGCTGTGTTAGGGGGCTTCCTGTATGCTGTTGGAGGCTCTGATGGGACATCACCTCTGAACACAGGTATTTCCCATAGACGCTCAACTTACCTTCATCCCTTTGTTGCTCAGGGACATTGAACAATGAAATAATCACTGTTATTGAGAAAAATGAGCCTATAACACAGCAGGAAAGATTAATTTTCTACAGTTGTTATACCATTGATTCTTAAGTAGATCGGTTGTCTCTATATGATAGACAGATTTCCAAGATAAATCAGCTGAGAATTTTGATTAAAAGTGATTAACAGTTCCTCAGGATTAAAAAGTTCATGTAGGGTATGATAAATAGAACCAGTTTTTTATAGTTAGTATATCTCCAGATTTGAGAGATAATATGCACAAGCTGCTACTTTTTTTAACACTCTTTGGTATTGCTTGAAAACATCTGATGAGCTACCACTGAATACTGAATTAGATTAGCCTTTAGTTTAATAATTTCCAATATCTCCTCTGTTCTGATTATTCTTTTGTTACAGCTGTTGATGGGGGGAGAAGGAAGGAGTGTTAGACTGTGTATTGCTATTGTTAGATGTCTTTATTGTTTGACCAGTATCATAAAAACCATCCACAGTGGAACGCTACAATCCCCAGGAGAATCGCTGGCATACAATTGCACCTATGGGCACTCGACGCAAGCACCTAGGGTGTGCCGTGTATCAAGATATGATCTATGCTGTGGGAGGCAGAGATGATACTACCGAACTTAGCAGTGCTGAGCGATATAATCCCAGAACTAACCAGTGGTCTCCTGTAGTAGCCATGACATCACGCCGTAGTGGGGTAAGATCTGAGTTTGGTTGACTGCTATTTCTCCATATCTTCCATGATTAAACTGCCAAGCATTAAGAGACCAATTTAATAGGAGTGCAAAAGTTGCAATTAAAAACTTAGAATTTGGAAAAGGAAAAGATAGCACAGTATTGGTAGTCTTCTTTGGAGAAATGTGTTTGTTTTGTGCATAGACATTATAGCCAAATGAACTTAGAACCCCAGCTCCATAATGATATGTACTATAATAATTATTTATAAAGGATCAGATTACACAGTATAAGAAAGATCGTTTTAATGAAAGATCTTTAGATACTGTATGTTACAGTATTTGAATGAAATTAGGCACATAAGCTGATCTGTGCAATGTTACTGTTCCAGGTGTTTTACATGTGCATAAAAATAATTACAGGTAGTCCTTGACCTATGACCATTGGTTGAGCGACCATTCAAAGTTACAGTAGCACTGAATGAATGGTGGTTATAACCACTTCATGGAGCTCTGGCCATCCCAGCACCCCTTCAGTGATGTGAATGCAGTCTAGGCACTTGACAACTTTTGTAGTTTTGAATGGTTGCCAGGTACCCTGCAATCATGCATCACCATTTGCAATCTTCCCTGCCATCTTCTCCAGAAAGTCAATGAGAAAGCCAGCAGGGAAGATTGCAAGTCACTGGGGTAAGTCTCCCCCACCTGTCTCTCTGCATTTGTGCTATGCCAACCATTTGGGCACCCTTGCAAATCCTCCCCAACCCTTGCTGCACCTCCCTCACACCACTGCCTATCCAACCTGCACCTCCTGTTTTCTGACTGCTCCTTGTACACCTCTCCAATCCATGCTTTCTCATATACTCTTCTCCAACTATGCCTCTTGCGCATCCCTTTGCACCCTCCCCAATCAGTGCTTATTGTGGTCCTTCTTGACTTGCGCACCTCTTGCACATTCCCTTATGCAGCCTGCTTCACCTGCACCACACCCCTCATGCATCCTTGCACCCTCTCACTTCCTCTCCCACACAGCAGCAACCACTTACCTACTAGCCTGCCAACCTGGAACTTGCAACTTCCTGCCTGCTTTTCCATTCACTTTGGCTGTGGGAAGCTAGCAAGAAGTTGCCTTGTCTAATGACCATAGGATTCAGTTAACAATTGGCAATAGCACTGCAAGAATTGCCATCACTACAGTTGCAACGTTTTCCTTTTAGAACACTGAACATCAAAAAATTGTATTGCAGCATTCTTGCTTATGTAATTAACAGAAATATTTTTATTTATTTATCTACATCCTGCCTTTATTATTTTGATACATAAGGCAGCAAATATTACTAATATTTCTTCTTCCTCTTATTTCCCCCACAACTCCACAAGGTGAGTTGGACTGAGAGAGAGTGACTGACCTAACCATTAGATCAGACTTAACTACTAGACCAGACTTAATTATCTCTTAGGTTGGACTTGCTGTAGTGAACGGACAACTAATGGCTGTAGGAGGCTTTGATGGCACAACATACTTGAAGACTATTGAGGTATTTGATCCCGATGCCAACACATGGAGGTAAACTAACTTTTGAACAGTGATAAGGAGAACATAAGTCACACTATTTATTTCAACTTGTTATCTCTCTTAATTATATAATCAGCTCTTGAAAATAATGGGTTAGTTCACAAACAAACTATAATCTATGGCAGGACTCTCCAACCATTCTGACTTTGTGAACCAGAGGTGGGAAGAGGGGATGGTTTCACGCAAGCAGTGGGCACGCCTAGCTCCATTTACAAAAGCGGCAGGTACATGCGCCTGCTGCTCACGCAAATGGAGTTTTGCACATGAGTGCACAGTGCTCATACAAATGGAGCTTCCTGAGCAAGCACGAGTCTGCCATTCACACTAATGGAGTTTCCTGCACAAGTGCACTTGCCAACCACTTCTAAATGGGCCATGGCCCAGGGGTTGAGGACCCTGGATCTATGGAGTACAAGATATAATGATTGATTTCACACATTATACTAAACTATAGATATCCAATTCTAAACATGATGATGCCAAAATACAAAACATGTTGTGACATCACGACATAAGCTCTGCCATTTCATACTTGCCTACAAGTAATCAAGAGGCAGAATTTGTATCATGATCACATTTCCAATAACTTAATCCCCCCCTCCAAATTCCTTATACATTTAACCAAAGCCAAATAAAACACATTTCTGGTGTGGCATAATGTCTGTACAAAGCACCCACTGTGGGTTTAGGGCAGGAGGAATACACATACATTCAGAATTCATGATCTATGACAGTGGTGGTGAACCTATGGCACACGTGCCAGAGGCGGCACTCAGAGCCCTTTCTGTGGGCACGTGCGCCGTCGCTCCAGCCCTGCCTCCCTCCTCATCAGCAACCCCCCCAGAGGAGAGTCACCCCCGGGTGCAGAGCAGCACAGCCAAGCACATGGCAACTGGGCAGCAGGGACAAGACTCTGCCCTCGCGCCCCGTCGCAGATGATGCGGGGCACGGATGGGTGCGTGGCCACCATGGTGCTGCAGGGCCACCTGAACAATCTTCAGCGGGCCGTGGAAGTGGTGGGTTGCCCAGCAGGTGGGAAGGGGGTAGGGTGGAGCGATGGGGGTGGGGGCAGGGCGATTTTTGGGCACTCGGTCTCTAAAAGGTTCGCCATCACTGATCTATGATTTCTGAAATGGAAGTGAGTTTGATTAAAGCTGTGTAAATGTGCACAGTTAATACCAGACAAACTCTACAAAGGTAACACGTACCTATTATCTTCCAAAATAATTTATTCTTACATAGAATAAATTATAAGAGAATTATATCAGTAGTGAAATTCAGCTTTTCTTAATCCCCAACCTGAGCTATTCTGGAATTCTAATTACTTTGAAGGCATAATTGGGTTTTGAATAGAATCCCTTTAAAAAAAAATTCCAAATAGAACATGCAGGGCATTTAAGAAGTGATATTTGATTGAATTTTGCATGTTTGTTAATAGTTCTCTTTTCAAAGAATCTACTGTAGAAAAAATCTTTTCCAATATGTAATTAGGTTTATAGGATCTACATTAATATGGAATTGCCATGTTTCAAAATGCATAGTACCAGGTTTTAGAGTAGCTGGTCACAAAGAATGAGTTCTATTCACATCAAGTTAATGAATAGATGAATAGGTAAAATAATTTCCCAGGGCAAGAATAAACATTCTTTTATCACTTATATCTGTTAACTGTGTTCTTAGAAAATCAGTACAAACTAGATGGCAATATAACAAAATTAGCTGATGTATAAGTTAAAACTGAAGAGTAGACCAGAAAGTTAAAAAAATAAAAAATAAAAAGACAGTGTTAAGTCATTTGCCTTATTGCAGATAGGACATTTGTAGATATTGAAGATTTTACCTTAAATAAAATGTGCAGAAAGGCCTCAGACACATAGATACTTTTAACTTGGTATATGCAAGGTATTTTCATTCTAATTTTTAAAATATTCTGCTAATCAAATTACGAAGAAAATCTGAGAACATGCAAGAGATGTTATTGGCTTACTAATTGCATCTTAGCACATAAGAGCGTGAGTGTTGCTTTTTTTCTTAGCTTATTCCCAACTTGTTTTTAGCTTTGCCCAAACTTTTAACTAATTCACAGAGGTGCAAGAAAATAACTTCTTAAAAAAGGAAAGCAAACCTTCCACTCATCAAATACATTGACAACGTACTTTAGTTTGTTCAACAAACCTTGATTACAGTCATGGCTTAACATGTGTTGTAATCACAATAATATATAGGAAAAATCATTTATGTTTTGATGAATGAATAAGGTGCAGTCAATAATGGATCTTCTAAAATAATAATTTAAAATTTGCCTGGAGAAACCAAAGCTTATATTAATTTTTTTCTAATTCAATATGGCATTTCATATGATTTTAACATTTTTATTATTGCAGTTTGTTTCATCCAAATTTTAATTATTTCAATCATAGTAAATGAATAAAATATTGGAATTAAAAGCGTAAGTTGTGAGGATATGATGAAAAACCTCACGAACTCCTTACAAGCTTGTTAACTTATAAGCATCATGTAAATTTGCATACATTTAATATAAATGACTTTGTCTCATTTTCTAATTTAATTATATTTAGAATCCTCAGTTTTAGACTTTTCAGCAGTCTTATCTCTGACTCTTATACCTTTTGTTATAGAAGAATAAGCATACCATTTCTTCTGCAGGCTGTATGGAGGGATGAACTATCGTCGACTTGGAGGAGGTGTGGGGGTTATCAAAATGACACACTGCGAGTCCCATATATGGTAAAGAGCCAAAGGGAAACATTTCCTTGTTTCCTCATTCCAACTGAAACATTTGTGTTAGGTAACTTAAGAGCCTTTCAAGACTCTAGTAAAATGAGATCACTTATGTTTTTGCTGTGCCTCTTCCTTTGGAACCGTAGTGGATATTCAAACATTTGCCTTCTGCTACAATTAAGGAAGAACATGCTACCCTACTGCAAAAAACTCCCTGGAACAGTAATTTCCTTGTCTTTATCTTCCTATCCTAATATAATCTTTTTGCTGGAACTGGAATCCACTGTTAACTCCAAGTATTGTCTATGATCCCAGATATATATGAGTTCTTTTAAAGAGGTGACCCTGTGAGAAGAAATGACAAGCTGTAAGAGCAATGTTTCTATAAAACATCATTTGCCTTGTTCAGAAAGTATATAATAAAGCCAGATAGCCCTCGGCAACTGCCTTGTTATAAAGAAAATGGCATACAACCTACTCATTTCAGCAGGATGAGTGATAGATTTTGTTTAAAATGCATTGTACTGAGATTATTGGGCAGTTTTCTTAAAACTGAGGCTTACTCCGTTTAATTCATCTCTCTCTCTCTCTCTCTCACACACACACACACACACACACACACACACGCACAGAGCTATTAAATAAGGATATCAGTGTTACTCAGAAAATTGAAACAAGAACAAAGTATTGCAAATTCATGATCTGGTTATTGGAACAAGAAATAGAAATATAGAACTTTTAGCACAATTTATTAGATGGTTTCCAAAAAACTAAACAGAACCCAGGTCTACTTTTATTTAGTGCCATTAATTTTACTGAAATGAGTGAAAACTTTAGATGCATTTCACTATTGGCATAGTGGGAACATTTCTCTAATACACAATCACAAATCTGGATTGTAATCTTACAATATGGGTTAAAGGGGAAAAAGAATCCTCAATAATTAATAGGAAATAAAATAAATTCCCATTTTAGCCTCAGGTACTATGCTTACTCTGCTTTAAATGTCTGAATTTCTGGATTCCAAAATATAAGAAAACCAGCCTTACTACGCTTCTGAAAGGAGTGATTAGAACATTAGAACTTTCAGTTTAGCTTTTCTTATTTATCCTTAAGATGTAGTTTTATTCTGTTGGGGTGGTGGTGTCCTAGACCAGTTTATGAAAATTGGATTGTAAAAATATATTTATTACAACAATGCCAGCATTGTAGCTGAATCAGGTGCAGGATATCTATGTACCGCTTACATCTGAATTGGGTGATAACAATTCTTAATTTGATACAGCCCATGACACTAACCACTTCTTGTAATTCCAAAAGCTGCAAAAGAATGAATAAACTGCTTTGATCTTAGTGGATTATAACCATTGGAAAAAAACAAGTGATACTAAAGTGTCTTTTCACCTTTATAAAAAACAATTTTGTTTATAAACTCAAGCATCTTCATTCAATGTCTATTACATCTATTCATAGATTGGGATGGGGTGGAGAATCACAAATCAAATTTTGGGAGACATTACTTGAGATGATAAAACTTTTTACCCTAAAGGTTGGCATTCTTGTGTTTACATATTGAACATTTGCACCTTTATGAAGAAAAAGTATTCTGTAAACAATTGTTTACATATCATTTATGCTTTTTCTAGCATGTTAACTTGTATAGTGTTATTAAATAAAATCTGTGTGAGTATTCTGTTCTCTCGTGACTCCTGTATTTGCCAAACTGATATTATAATACTCAAAATGTTTGTTTATTGTAGGTATGAATGCTCTTTTACGTAGATCAATTGATATACGTAGTCTCAGTAAGTAAGAACAAGTGATACAAAAGGTGTAAATGAAAAGCTATTTGAAAAAGCTGCTATGAATGACTTTCTAAAAGCTACAGGAAGGCAACCAGTTTGATCTCAGTAGAGAGCTCATTCCATAGCACTAGTGCAACACCTTTTACCTTCACCAGAAATGTGGAACAAGGCAGGTGCACTTTTCTACATGATTTAACAGGTTGGGCCAAATCTGGTTGGAGGGAAGCAATCCTATAGGTGCCCAAGTGTCAAGCCATGAAAGGCTCTACTTTAAATTGTATTTAGACCTGAACTGGTAATAAACTGATAATATGCTCCCAATGTAAGAAGCCAGTTAAGACATGGGCCGCAAAGGGACTCCCATGTAAAGCACACTGCATTTGTGTATACAGGTCGTAATGACAGCATGTATGCTTGTCATTAAGCCAACCTCCATTATATAACTGAGCAATTGGCGCACCAGCCAAAGTTGAGCAAAAGCCCACTAGCCACAACGTTCAACTGTTGTTCAAGCAGGAGACATGAGTCCCAAAGGATTCCCAAACCACAAATCTGCTCCAGAGATGGGTAACATCTGTTTACCCAAGGATAACAGCAACACCACCTCACATGGGTTCCCTCAGAGCTTGTTCTCTCTCATTTAGCCCTGCACAGGCTTCAAGGAGAGAACATAAAAGCATTCCTCCTGAAGTTGCAATTTACAGTTGATGTCTTCACCTTACAGATGATACAATACCCTAATTGTCAGATGACCTCACCCGGTGATTTCATCTAGCTATTAAAAAGCAGGGAGCTAAGGACCAAACTATGGAGCCATAAGTGAAGAGCTACCAGGCCCATCTCTCCTACATTGCAACAGATTGAAACTGTCAGTAGAAGAGCAGAGCTATTAAAAAAAATACAGGTAGTCCTTGACTTACGACCACAATCAAGCCCAAAATTTCTGTTGTTAAGTGAGACATTTGTTAAGTGAGTTTTGCCCCATTTTACGACCTTTCTTGCCACGGTTAAGTGAATCACTGCAGTTGATAAGTTAGTAACCCAATTGTTAAGTGAATCTGGTTTCCCCATTGACTTTGCTTGTCAGGTCACAAAAAGTGATCACATGACCTTGGGACACAGCAACGGTCATAAATATGAACTAGTTGCCAAGCATCTGAATCTTGATCACATGATTAAGGTGATGCTGCAAAGGTCATAACTAAAAAACGGTCACAAGTCACTTTTTTCAGTGCCATTTTAACTTTGAACAGTCACTAAATGAACTGTTAAGTCAAGGACTTCCAGAGGTTGTCCAATAATATAACATGGTTAATAGTATGAAAAGCTGCTGAGACCTAAAAGGACAAGAAAATGGGCGTTGTCTTACCTGAACGCCTTTTCTCAGCATGAAGATGTAGCCTCCACCAATGGGTTATCGAAGCCTTCCTGCTGTTCTGTCCCCGTTCCGACCCACACACCCAAACAGCCAGCCGAGGGTTAAAGACTTCTCCAGACACCACTTCACAGATAAGAAACTTGGCAGCAGCTCCACAGCTGCCTGCCAAGACCTTTTACTCCAAACACACAGAAACAAAAACAATACACACAGTTTAAAGCCACAGCAAACTACTTCGCCAGAGATTCAGCTTTTGTCCGTCACAGAGGTCCAAATGGCCACCACCACCCTTTTATAGCCTGTGGGGTGTGGTCCAGTGACTCAGCTTAATCTCTGGCACGTCTCTTTTTCTGCTGCGCACGCTTGTCACTCCTACGCTGGCGTGGATCCAGCCACAACTTCTCTTCCTCATTATCCGACACACCTGGCTCCTGGCCCATCTCAGAAACACCTGGCTCCTGGCCAATCTCAGAACCACCTGGCTCCTGGTCAATCTCTTCTCTGTCGGGAGACACCTGAGGCATTGCCAAAGAGGAGGGTCCTGGAAAGGGAGGCCTGGCCATCTCCTCTCCTTCATGTTCGGAGCCTTCGTCCTCCGATAAGAGGGGCTCACAAGACGGAGCCACAACACCTGCTCAGTTTAGACCAGCGGTTCTCAACCTGTGGATCGCGACCCCATTTGGGGTCGAACGACCATTTCACGGGGGTCGCCAACAACGCAGTCCGCCATATTTTTTTTCACCATTTTTTTTACCCTTTTCCTTTCCCTCTTATTGGCTTTCGAAAGTGCCACAGGTGGCACGCAGAACCGTTCCTGCCTCCCTCCTCTTTGCGCATGCGCAGCTTTTTTCTATATAAAATGAAGTTTCGGTCCACGTGGCAGAAGCGAGACAGAGGACCAGCGGCAGAAAGCGAGGAGGACCAGCGGCAGAAAGCGAGGCAGAGGACCAGCGGCAGAAAGCGAGACAGAGGACCAGCGGCAGAAAGCGAGGAGGACCAGCGGCAGAAAGCGAGACAGAGGACCAGCGGCAGAAAGCGAGACAGAGGACCAGCGGCAGAAAGCGAGACAGAGGACCAGCGGCAGAAAGCGAGGCAGAGAACCAGCGGCAGAAAGCGAGACAGAGGACCAGCGGCAGAAAGCGAGACAGAGGACCAGCGGCAGAAAGCGAGGCAGAGGACCAGCGGCAGAAAGCG